AAGTCAAATTGCGACTGACGGTCAGTCAGTCAGTAAGTCTTGGTGTCGAGCCCCTTCTGGTGCTCATGACCAGATATTTATTACTGTTGAACGTTACGGTTTTGTTTTTTATTGGGGCGTTCTCTCTGACGAGAGGACGGGTCTGTCTTTTATATATGCTGCTGGTCTTGCCAGCGCAGTCTTACTCGAGTCCGAGTCCGTTGGCACTCGCGACTCTATTTTACTGTCTCAGAATTGAGACTTCCCTTTTCGTCGCCTCCTACGACTCGCAGGGTCACGGATGAGGTATTGGACCCCGCCTCCACACGGGGAAGGACAACCGATACCACAAAAGACAAAGGTTATAGATACCTGAGACCAGGCTAAGTCCATGAGAGCTAATAAGAAAAATATACATAACAAATTGTTCCGAATACATACAAGTGTGGAACCAGGATAGATAGAGCCGTAGAAATTTATGTCGCGAAACCAAACTAATAACCAAGCCCATGACATCACGGCATGGAATAGAAAGGAGAACTAGTAAAAAACTAATAGTGTCTAACTAGTGTCAACAATGGAGTAAATCACGTCTATCTAATTTAGAACCTAATAGAAATCAATAAAAACATATGTCACGTTATCTTAAAAACCAGGACAATGGATAAAGTCCGGAAACCCAATATCTCTGTGTGTTATATACCATCATCAGAATCCTATAGTAACTACTTAAGATTTTACTCATCTATCAAATTTTGAACTTGGCGGAGGCAAACCCCGCATCACACACGCTAAAAGATAATTCTAAGAAGTCCAAAATTTTGCTCTCACAACGACTCATATTGAGATTTAGCTTAATCAACAAGAGCGCAGAACCAAGGAATTAGGGGAGCTGATTGAGTGCATTTTAGTGTAAGTGTAATGCCAGCTGCTTGTAAGCCAAAACTACATCAGATTGTGAGAATTTATGCAGCCGAGTGTCTTTAAGAAGAACAAGAATAAAGTGTTGTGGTGGTACAGTGAATTTCGTTGATTAGAGGTGTTTCACCCTCACTTGTCTGAGCCTGACTCATATCCGACCTGAAGAGAGACTCATCTCCACTAGCTAGTCAAACCCACATCAGCTTTCCTATGCTCACTCCTTCCCCCACTTCCCTTCTCTAACTTCCTGGCGCCCACACCATCAGATCCAATCCTGAAATCCAAACCCCAATAATCTCAACTGAAGGAAGAAGCGGTGGAGCTGGGTCAAGCCGAAACCAGCTACGACCTAGCAACTTCAGCAGCGGCAACACCATGTAGGGCAGCGTCAAAGTGGTCATCGGAGCAGAGGGGCCGATCGCCATCGACTCCCACTCCCTGCACTACTATTCAGATGGAGCTGCAGGCGAACGGTAGGAGGGACAGTTACAAAAGATTAAGTGGAGCCCAATGTAAGGGCACTAAGAGGACAGTTATAAGTGGAGCCCAACGTAAGGGCACTAAGAGGAAAGTTATAAGTGGCGCCAAACAAAGGGGCCACACAGAACACAAAGTGAGAAGTTATAAGTGATGACCAACATGTGGGGCTTGAAGTCTCACTGAGTGGGTCAGTTATAAAACATACCATATTTATGCACGTATAGGCCGCAGCACAATTTTCAGACAGAAATTATAGAAAAAATAATTTTCTTGGAATATTATTTCAGGAGTAGAAATTATTCCGAAATTTGGCAACGTTAATTTTTTTTAAATGAAGTGTGATTTCGAATATTTCGAATATAAGCCGCACCCCAGTTTTCCTCTTGAATTTTTGGCAAAAAATGTGTGGCCTATACATGCGTAAATACGGTATGTCCTCTTTCTGGTCTGTATTACATATTAGGCATAAGTTTCTATTAATTTCAGCTGAGGAATTCAGAAACTGGAAGTTCATTTCAGCTTTGTTGGCCATTTTCGAATAATAACTTTTGGCATAAAACTGACCTCTCATTAGATATAAAGTCAACGTTTTCATGAAAAAATCTCAGAAGAAAAAATTATGAAGAGTTACAAAGTGATTTCAAGGATAATATTAAAGTGCATCTTTCAGAAGTGGGATGTGGTGTTTCAGACTACCTCAGAACAAGGTAAATGGAGGGCTATTATTTTAGCAGTGGTGAGCCTTTCCTACTGTTGCTTGCATCTTACTGGTTGCTGGCTTGGCTTAATGTTTGACCCCAAAGATCACAGCACTATGGTCCTCTGAAACATTGGTGAAATTCTACCAAACTACATGGCATATCCCAGAAAGTAAGACTTTCCTTTCATTCAATTTGTTAATTAATTGCTGTACATTTACAGACAGTTTCAAATTAACATAAACATGAAAACCTCTAGTAATTCATTCTTATTAATATAGTTATGCTTACTGCATATATAAATTCAGATAATATGTATATTGCACCTTGTAATCCACTCCTTCAGAACAATTGAATACAATACACAGAATGGCCAGAGACTTGGCCAAATCCTTTACTGTCTCTGTTTTGCCAGTTCCTGCTGGACCAGATAACGCACCTCCTGAAAAGTAAATCTTTCATCAGGATCTCACCACATCTGTCTTCAATCAAATTTCAAATTTGATAGTTGCATTGGCACTAACTTTGCCGACAAGCAGTGGTTGATCTGTCTGTACAGTTCACTTGTGGACTAAAACCACGGAGTTTGTTGTTTGTTGTTTTGATAGTTGCATATAAATTAGGACAGAGCAGAAAGAAATTCACATACCTGACCTATATAACTGATTATCTCGCATCAGTGAAAATGAAAATAACTAACTAACCTCTCAGAAAAGAATCCTTCTTGATAAGCTAGTAGGTGCTCAGATTGCCAAAAACTTCTCAATATTTTATGGAACCCAAAGGTTCAATACTTCATTAAGAAGAATACATAGGGAAATTGGATTGTGTGGATGGGATACGAAGAGAAACGGCTGAGGAGCATGTCTAGTGGGGAGTGTGAAATCCTTTACAAATGCAGATTGTAGCAGCACCAAACAGGCTGGTCTAGAGGTAATGCTCTAGACTCATATTCTGGATGTATTCGATTCAAATTTTGGCTGGGTTATCAGCTATCCCAGTTCATGGTTTCTGTGGTTTTCCTCAATCCATCCAAGCATATACCAGGATATTACTTCAATTATCCAATGTCCACTTCCTTTCCAATCTTTTACGCCTGATTATTTGTAAGTCTTCACACCACATGACATTACATGGCCTTGAAACTAAAAGCATCATTAAATAAACCACTAACAAACAATCAAAGCAGAGTTTGGAAGCTGTAATATATTGGTTTTGTAATGGGAACAAATTAAATTTAAATAACCAAAGTTGGCAGAAGAGGAAATGCAAATACTGGGACTGCAAGTATATCCATACTGGGATGGTCCTATGATGTACTTTCTTTAACAGACTTACAAGCTGGGATATGGAAATATTACATATACAAATTACAGAAGTCAATCAGAATTACCTAGATCCATTTGAAGGGCACCCATAAGGCAGAGGTAGCATTTGTCTGTGAGTGGTGTAATGACAAGTCGAGGAGATGCACCAAGATACTCATAACCGTATATATGTGCTGCGCTAGACATTCGTACAACACAATTGCCAACATCTTCATCCCAGTAATATCTCAAATGTTTCAACCATTCGAAGCTTGTACTGTAATGTTAATTGCAAAGGAATATGAAGGTCTTGCCATGGGAGCACCAACTTCAGCAATTCTTGCTTAGGTATTTATACAATACCTCAAACATACAACTATCACTGATATTTTGATGAAATACCAAATAATAGATTATTATAGATACGTTGACGATATTTTAATCACTTATAATTCCCATATAACCAACATTGAAAATACTTTGTATGGATTCAACAATATCCACCCTAATATCAAATTCACAATGGAAAAAGATTTATCTTAGATTTATCCATTGAGAAAACACACAAAAAGCCATAATTAGGAATCTATAAAAACCTACAACTACTGATCTAATCATCCACAATAATTCATGTCACCCATTTGAACACAAAAAAGCTGCTACAAACTTTCTCATGAATCAACTGAATCAATATCCCCTTTTGCATAACAATAAAAACATAGAAGAAAACATTGTTAGAACTATACTAAATAATAATAACTACCCACTAAATACTGTACAACTAACACAAAAACCCTCTGCAAAAAATACTATGCACAAAAAGAAATAGACCAACTTTACCTATTTTGGCCATGAAATCAGATCTATCACTAAACTTTTCAAGAATACTGAAGTTGGTATTGCATATAAGACAAAAATATATACATAGGGCAGTCAAAAAATTCCAGGAATTCCCCTGCAGACGGAGAATGAGCACACTGTTGTGGTGGGGAGCTCAGCTTGTCTGCTCGCAGGCGCAACACATCTGGACAGGTTTCAGTGTGCAGTGTCGTTACTGTTCCGTTTGAATTAGACGTGAGTGTTGGTCATTTGGCGCAATGTTACAGTTCGAACAGCATGTGAACATCAAGTTCATGTGCAGATTGAAAAATCTGCTTCAGAGACGCAATCTGCCTTGCAACGAGTTTACAGTGATACTGCACTAAAGAAATCCACAGTTTACGACTGGTTTTCCCGGTTTAAGAATGTGCAGGAGATGTTAGAGGATGACCAGTACAGCGGGAGACCTTCGAAATCCAGAACCAAAGAAATGATTGGAAAAGTGCGACAACTGATTCGTTGTGATCGAAGAATGAGCATCGCAGAGTTGCAGCAAGAAGTTGGTATCTCTCACGGATCCATTCATGCCATTTTGTCCGATGATTTGAAGATGAGACGTGTCAGTGCAAAGTTTGTTCCAAGGCAGCTGACTATGGATCAGACGGAATGTCACACGATGGTCGCTGGCAATCTGTTTGACAAAAGTATGCAGGACCCAACGTTTTTCAAAAAGATCATCACTGGTGATGAGTCATTGGTGTTCGCTATGACCTGGAGATGAAGATGCAGTCATCAGAGTGGCACACAGCGACGTATCCTTGGCCAAAATAATCACGCCTCGTCAGATCCAAAGACAAAGTTATGCTCACTGCATTCTTTGACATCTCCGGTTTGGTGCACCATGAGTTCTTACTGCCTAGACAGACTTTTACTGGCAATTTCTACGTGCAGGTTTTGCAGAGGTTGCGTGATGCGGTTCGGAGGAAGCGGCGCGACAAGTGGCAGGGACAGTGGTTTCTGCATCACGATAATGCACCAAGCCACACATTGCTTGTTGTGCAGCAATTCCACGCCAAGAAAAACATTCCTGTCATCACTCGACCACCGTACTCTCCGGATCTCGCTCCGAGTGAAAATTGGCCTCAAGGGGACATGTTTCATAACCATGGAGGACATCAAATTGAATGCAATGGCTGACCTCTGGAAGATCCCAAAGGAAGCCTTCCACCACTGCTTCCAACAGTGGCAGGATCGATGGAGCAAGTGTGTGTGCATGCAAGGGTCCTACTTTGAAGGTGATTAGGTAAGCATTGCCATATGTCTTACCATTAGAGTGCTATACCACCATTCCGGGAACTTTTTGACTACCCCTCGTAAAACATCTGTTAAAAATAAATGATAAGTATAATCTTAGTGGGGTTTACCAACTACAATGTGCTGACTGTCCATTAAATTATGTAGGACAAACTGGACGTACCTTTAAGGTCAGATTCAGAGAACACATACGAGACATAAAAAATAACGGACAACATATGGTCAACATATATTGACACCACACATCAATATAGTACGATAGACAAAACATTAGAAGTTCCATATATCGGCATAGGCCGAACCTTGGATACATATGAAAGATTTCACATTTATGAAATCAGCAAACTAAATTTGCAACTAAATGATAATTTTACCGAAATGTTTAACCCTATATATGTTATGATGTAATCATCGATACATACAAAACATAATATACAGTCATACCCCCTTCGCCCCTTACTACCACTTCCGCATACACCTTATCTCTACCTCCTCCCTCCCACCCTTTCAATGACTTTTAACATACATCACCAAATCAGTCGTTGTTTACATTCCCTACAGAATGGACAATTACTTTGTAAGATGAGGCACTGACTAAATAGTAAGTAAATAATACACTAGAACTTCAATACCAAAATCAATTGTTGATTATAACAAAACTTAATACTATTACTTTCATATCATTTTTAGATTAATATTAATATTACTACATCTACATCACAAGCCTCCAAAACAGTTTATTATATGTACATACAAAATATAGAATACTCCAATTTGTCCATGGGAACACAACAAAATCACAAAAACCAATGACTGACTAGATGATGGAAAGCATCACTCAAAGAATTTTATTCTTGGTTTATACTATAACTTTTGTTTTATATAATCTAATTTATTGCATTTTTACGCCAAGTATTTTATTATAATTAATATTATTGTATCCAATTTTATTAGTACTGCAGTTCAGTGAGGGGCATGCGGTAGCGTAGCTGGTTGAGGGGCTATGCTACAAGCTGAAAGGTTGAGGGTTCAAGTCCCAATGAGGTCACTGGATTTCTTCAATTGACCTAATCCTTCCAGCTGCACTATGGCCCTGGGGTTGACTCAGCCTCTAACCGAAATGAGTACCAGAAATTAATTAAAAATAATTTTCCTGGGAAGTAAAGCGCGGCTGGCACGTAAGGCTGAGAAACTTACCGCCATCTGTGAGCCGATTGTCTAGATAATGCAGGATCCTCAATGTCTCACAACCCTACGGGCCTTCATGGCCTTTTCCAGGGATAGTTTTGCTTCCCCCCCGCAGTTCAGTGGTGTATATACAATATGTTAGCCATGTATTTGCCTGATGATGGCTTTTAATAGCTGAAACATGTAGCAGAGCCAAACTAGGCACTGACCTTATTATAGTTGTGTTGTGATGGTTTTAATAAAGAAATTGTATCTTATATACAATTCAAATGGTGAATAGTGAACACACTATCTCTTGAAATATAATATTCTCTTTTCTTATAGTCTGAAATTATTTTATTTATCAAAGGATAAAAGAAAAATAACACTTGCACCATTTCCAAATAATTAAGAATGTGCCTTTCCACAGATAGAAATTATACAGGGTGTTTCACGACTTTAGGTCATAACTGCAGGAGGTGATCAAAATAGTTCACATAAACATGTGGCCGAGTTTGGATGGTTATGGAGTTATGACCGTTTTAAACTCAGAATAGAAGGTAACGATTACTGACAATAAACGGAACAAAATAATAAACCAGCATAATATATGATACATTTAAAGTATGAATGTAAAGTTATCTTCGTGAAATTATCTTTAATTTGAATTGATTGGTGCTTAAAGCTGATTTTTGAAAATGCCACCACCGGCCACAACACAGACTGCCGCTTGGTTGTGAACCACGCAGGTAGCACGTAGCAGCTTCAGCTGGCTGTTTCTTATGTGGTCAGCAGCATCCAGAATGCGACCGAGCAGAGCATCTCACGTCGCCACCTTCACATTGTAAACCAGTTCTTTCATCCATCCCCACACATAATAATCTGGTGGGCTTAAGTCTGGAGAACTGGCTGGCAATTCTTCGCGTACTCATACGTGGACTGCAGTGTACCATATGAACAATGCCTTCTTCATTGACGCCTTCATTACCACCACGCTCGGCTGCAATACCAACGCCGGGAAGTCTACTGGTATCTCGCAATGCCTGGTAAACTCCAATAAACACTGTCCGGTTTGGTATTCTATGATTCAGAAACCGTTGCTGATATTCAGCTATGGTGAGAACTGAGTTACTGTCACAAAACCTATACACATAAATCATATCTGCATACTCCTCAAATGAAAATGTAAATGACATTGTGAATGTAACAGACACACCGAGATGAGAACTGTTCCGAACACCAGTAGCTGCCACACTAGCTGTGGCCAGACATACCAACCCACCATTCCTTAGGTACCTCTCAAGTGTCATAACGAGAACGCTCTGCCTGTAGCTGGCTAAAAATAGTGACCCGCCAGATGATAGACATAGTTCACACGAGGGCGTGTATGGGAATGAAAAAACGGTCAAACTCCATATCCGTCCAAAATTGGACACATGTTTATATTAACTTTTTGATCACAAAGGCCTAGGAAATCACCTCCTGCAGTTATGGCCTAAAGTCGCGAAACATCCTGTATATTATAATGTAAGTGTACAAAAAGACGTTCTTGAAACAAGAAAATTGACAATGGTACCCTTAAATAAAAATTTCTCTCTCACAATAAATTTATGAATTCATGTCCCACTTGAAATGTGACTATGTTGCTCATTCCTCAACACAGGTAAAGAAAGATAAAATATCACCCACCTGCCTTCTCAGGGAATCTGAAATTATTCTAGTTATTTTTATGCTTAACATCTACTTCAGGAAGATGTTCACTGCTGTTACCATGTTGCTTCATAAGAAATCCCACAAGGTTTATATGCGTGTATCATAAGATAGTTACCTATTAGTAACCTTTCCAGTTACCAAATTTGTGACACTGTCACGAGCATGGACTTCTATATTAATGAGTGAACTTAAAATCATTCGGTGTAGTTTGTGGAGACAACCACGAACCATTGCAGCTAGGTTGTTCAATTCCTAAAAATTAAAAAGGAAAACAAGGAACTAATCATGACATAAGATTCAAGACATAAGATTGTCTCTTCAATACTGAGGAGCGAACATACTGTCCATGGTTTGCATCTTAATCCTCGAGGCAAGGACAAGCTGACACGACTCATNTAATGTGTTTAGGTTAAAGGTTTGTCTGTTCTGACACCTGTTCGAATCTCTGCATGACCGATGACACGAGGATAATCCAACCCTTCAGCCTTAAACATTCAATAATTTGTGGTATTTTCTAAAAAGTTTCACTGTATTTCTTATTTAAAGAGTTTTTATTAACTACATTTCCATCGTAATATAAGATTTTTGTTGTTGAAAGCCACCAATAATTAGCTTTAACTGTGATGAGATGCCAGGGCGAATTTTTCACTGACGTTCTCAAACACTAAACACAAACTACAATGGACATGCTCCGTGAGAGCTGTCTCATGCATAAGACGAAAAGGATTAATATCTTCATCTTACAAGTGATCATATTAAAGGATCTTATTGCAATGAAAGTTATTAAGTCCTGAATCTTGAGGACAGATAAAATGTTACTTTTTGAAGTACGTGTATCACATAAGAGGCTTACTCACTTTAAAACATGTATCTTGAAACTCTTTCATAAGTTTCTCAATATTTTGATCCTCAGCTGCAAATATACTGTGTATGCTTCGAGCCCACATTATCTGAGAAGCTGTCAGTATAATCTGTAAAATAATAACACCATCACCATCATTACCATGAACTCTGTAGTGTTCTGTTGGATTTGAGGCTCTCATGGTAGCAACTATGTAGATTATGGTCTTTTGAGTTGTAACGACATATAGTTCGGAGACATCTTGATGTTTTAGAAGAGCACATCCCCTTCATGCTTAGCTGGCTTGCCTTTCCACCTGCTTCTGCAGGACTCTAATTGGGCCTACCCTTCAACACTGAAGATGATGGTGATATGTACCTCCAAAATGACAACCTGTCACCAATGTGAGAACATCAAGTCCAATATTTACAAGTCTGTTATATCTAACAGCATGTGACATCTTTGGACTTCCATCTGAACTACATTGCCAAATGTTCTTTTCCCTTCATTTGGAATTCTTATGACATCTTTATATATCATTTTCCCATGAATGATGGGCAGCTTTAACAATCCAAAATGGCAGTATAGCACCAAAGGAACTGAAGGTGATATTTCTGGGGTTACAGAAGGTCTCAGGGGATTAACTGCATAAGAACAATTATTGGAGAAATTCAGAAAACTCTAGATAATAAACAACTGGTCTCCGGTATATTTTTGGATCTGTCAAAGGCTTTTGATGTTATTAATCATAACTCGCTGCTTGCAATTGGAACCATATGGACTGAGAGGAATATCTCATGCAAGGATGAGATCATATCTTACAGATAGATCACAGTTTATTGAAATTCACTATATGGATCAAAAGACTTCTAAAATGAAGACCTCATCCTCATCCCTTAAAGCAATTAAATATGGTGTACCTCAAGGTTCTGTTTTGAGACCCCTTTTATTCATATTATTTATAAATGATCTGTCCCAAGTTATACATAATTCAGAGGTAGTACTATTTGCTGACAATACAATATATTGATTACTGGAAAAAATATTTTATCATTAAATGAAAAAATTCAAAATGTAAAGACTCAAGTAGAAAAATGGTTTTATGAAAATCGTCTAATAATAAACATGGATAAGTCAAAGGTATTACTTTTTCGGGGAAGTAGGTCTATTCCAAGTACCAGACCCCTTTTTTATATAAATAATAATGAGGTGGTTTGTTCAGTGGATGTAAAATTTTTGGGTATTTGCATTACTGAAGATTTAGGTTGGGAAACTCACACCCAATGTGTGTGTCAAAAACTTAGCAAGACTACCTATTTGATAAAATCCCTAAGGGACTCAGTGGGCCAAACTGTTTTAAGAAGCGTGTATCTTGCAAAATTTGAGTCCATGTTGAAATACGGTATTATTTTTTGGGGTGGGGTGCAAAAGGACTCTGAAACTCTATTTAAACTGCGGAAAAAATGTGTAAGGGTGATAAAGGGTGTTAAAAATAGAGTTTCCTGTAGAAATTTCTTTCGTGAATTAAAGATTTTAACTGTTACTTCGTTATATATTTTTGAGATGCTATGTTTTATGAT